ATGGAAAGGTTAAGTTAGGTAGGTTAGGTTTGTCTTGTGAGTATATGCCTTGTGAGCATTTGTCTTGTGTCTTCTAACTACCATCCAATCAGCCTAACATCAATTGTAGGCAAATTACTGGAAGCAATCATTTAAAACTATTCGAAATCACCTGGAGAAGCACAAGTTGAACAATGATTCCCAACGTGGCTTCACAAGAGGCCGTTCTGTTTAACTAATCTATTTACATTCTTTTCATCTGTTTTCGAATCAGTGGACGAGGGGGCACAATTATGATGTGGTATATCTCGACTTAGCCAAGCCTTTGACAGAGTCCCCCACGAAAGACTAATAAGAAAAGTGGAGGCTCATGGTATTAAAGGAGATATTCTAAAATGGATTAGGGCGTGGTTATAGGACAGGAAACGGCGAGTGAGCATTAATGGCACTAAATCCGATTGGAGCAACGTCACTAGTGGAGTTCCCCCAAGGCTCAGTACTTTGGACCATTATTATATACATAAACGATATAGATATCGGCATAGACAGCAGCATAAGTAAATTTGCTGATGACACTAAAATAGGGCGTGTAATTAAATCTGACGAGGACTCCGCAAAACTACAGGAAGATCTAAACAAATTTTTCGAGTGGTCTGAAAAGTGGCAGATGAAATTCAATGTGGACAAATGTAAAGTACTCGGTATAGGAGATGTAAACGGAAACCAGATACCAGATGAACAACTGTGTTATTGAGAAATCCGACTGAGAAAGATTTAGGAGTAATGATAAGTAGGAATCTTAAGCCAGGTAAACAATGTGTATTTGCTCGAAACAAGGCTAATAAAGTACTTGGGTTCATACAAAGGAGTGTTGGTTACAAGACTAGCGAGGTCATCCTAAAACTATATCTTGCGCTCTTGAGACCTCACTTGGGTTACGCAGTTCAATTCTGATCACCATTTTACAGAATGGATATAGAATCCTTGGAAAGAATTCAGAGGAGAATGACAAGACTAATCCCGGGCATAAGGGACCTTGAGTACAGAGACAGGTTAAAGCATCTTAATTTGCACTCCCTCGAGAAACGTAGAGCGATATGATAGAGGTGTATAAATGGAAGTCAGGGCTGAATAAAGGGGACATTACAAAGGCACTCATAACAATGGTTTTGAATTAGACTAATTTAGATTTAGGTGCAAAATAGGTAAACATTGGTTTGGAAATAGAGTAGTGGACGAGTGGAACAAGTTACCAAATATCATCATTAACTCGAATATGCTGAATGTCTTCAAACATAGGTTGGATGGATATATGAGCAATAAGGGTTGGGTATAAATGGGACTGCCCAGTATGGGCCAATAGGCCCGCTGCAGTTTCCTCCATTCTTATATTCTTGTCTTGTGAGCAAATGTGGAACTCCAACTGACCTATCTCCAAACCCCAGCCGAGCTTACCGTCTTTCTCATAAGATGATGGCGAATATACAGATAGAAGTGTTCCTGTCTCCTGATTTTTCAAAATGCATCTGTGTTAAGAAAGTATTCTTCCATTTTGAAGTGCAGAGAGAGAGGGCGATGCATGCTGTTGTGTCATATCACCAATATTGTGAGTTGTGCAGACCGTTTGCCAAACTGCTACTTTTTTGCAAAATCAAGCTTTGTTTGACTGTTGCCTACACAAACTTGTGCAGACTAAATGGGGTGTGTGTAGGCTAGTTGAGATAAGTTTTTCAGCAGTAGCATCATCGTCATATGACTGAAATGGTGATATCTTTTTTATCTACTCGAAGATATAGTAGTTTTATTTGTTCTGCACAAGCCAGTGTTTCTTTTCAACTAGTTTTGTCGAGTCTTCTTTTATTTAGCTGGACATGCCAGAGACAAATATACTGTGACACTTTTCTGCGGTAACCATGCTCTACTGAAATATGAGAGCAAACAGCTGTTTGCGTACATGAAACTGTATAGTGGAGTAAAAACCGTACAATTCAGGTTTGTGACGCGTGAGCAAAAGTTGAGTGCGTGTAGCAGGTTTAACTCGACTAGAAATATATATATATATATATATATATGTGTGTGTGTAGACACTGTACAGTATAATTATATGAATTTCTACTACGGGCTAGCACATGATCAACTGCCATTGTTGCGACACCCTTTAATACTGTAACAGCAACCATAGCCAGCTCTCACTTATCACAGTCCAGTAGAGCAGTAAAGCACACTGTCCCATGCTCATAAATGCCAGGATCACAGATATACGCGTCATATGACCTTGGACTGACGGAATAAAACCTACGTCAACAGAAGTGTGAAAAAAAATTACTGTTCGAAGTGAAAGATGTTATATCAAAATATGACAAGTTGCACGAATTGTAACTCGGCATTATAGATGACTTGTTAACCCTATGAGGTTATTTTACACAAAGGTTTACTATCCTCAGTAGGTTGTCATATTCAAGTGGTGTTAAGAGTGCTAAGGGGGGGTACTCAGGCATTCTTGTATAGTAAACAGTAATTACTATTGACCAGAAAATATCCCCTAATATGAAGTGCACATGGCTTCAAAATGTCCATGATATTGGTCAGATTTCAAAAACTTTTCTGTGTGGGACTTACAGGCCCCCCCCCACCCGGGTCACTGGGTGTGCTCGCCATGTTCCCCCACCGAAATTTTCTTGTCCCCCCTTTTTCTGTAGTGCACCAGCTCATTGTATTCAGGGGGTTGGTATTGCACTAGGGTTTTTTAAATTAAATGTTACTGAGGACTGCGAATGACTAGGAGTGGGATTAAAGACAGGTTGTTAGTGTGTGACGGTGCACCAGGAATTAGGTCACGGACGATAATCCCGTTCTTAAGGTGAGAAGTAATGTAAAAGAATGAGACTTCACAACAAAGGGATAAACAATGTAAGAGAGATTACTACTGTAAAAATTATACTGTACGTCATGTTGCTGAGAGCGGGTAGTCACAGCACCGGCAGTAAGAACATGTTTTTGTTGCCACTCATGTTATTCTGAATCCAGGAAAAAAAGGCACCCGAACAAACCTAACCTACGTGCAATGCCATCATATATATATATATATATATATATATATATATATATATATATATATATATATATATATATATATATATATATATATATATATATATATATATATATATATATATATATATAATTTATTTATTTATTTATTTATTTATTTATTTATATTGTGTTGTCAATGTGTACAAGTCATTTGACTTTTTTTTCCTGTAGACTTTATATCCGCCCAACCGTTACTCTTCACTCCATGGATGTATTAATTAGGAAATGTCACCGTTTCTGTGATCGAGTAGGTACAGTGCTTGCTTCCTGTCGTAGTCACTGATTCCCACCGGGGACATACCACTAGTTCACCTAGCTGTAACTTGAGTACCTAATTTTATAGTTGGGAAGTACAGCGCCTACCAAACTGCCTCCATGCATTCAGTGTGATGCATCCATTTTCACTTTGCGCATAAATGTAACTTAATACAGAAAATTATCTTTGTTATATTTGTATGTGTCGAAATGGGCACGTGTGAAAATACAGGGGTACAGTTAACTTTGACTTAGGGTAAAGCACAATAATAGCATTACTGTATAATTTTACGGACACTACCTTAACTATAAGTATTCGCTAAAAAAAATGGGAGACCAAATTAAAGATCCTTTCCCAAAGAAATTTTTTTTTTACCCTAACTGGTGCTACTGTGTCTAGTTAAACTAAAGTTCAATTATAAGTTTGATTATATTTTTTGACATTAGTTAGAGCTCATTCGTACACATGGCAAGGAGGTTATCTGTGGGGGGTTTGGGGGCTGAGCTAAGGTTTTCGTGGCTCAACCATGTCTCCGTTTTCTGTCGATATTATAAAAATAATGGAGTTTATACGCAAAATATCAAACACTATTTGCTTTATTATTTTTAATAGAAAATTGGGAATATAGAGTGCAGTAAGAACAACATAAGAATAGAGGAAACTGCAGCGGGCCTATTGGCCATACTAGGCAGTCCCGTTTACACCCGACCCCTTTCGCTCATACTGTATATCCGCCCAACCTACTGTATATTTGAAGCTACCCAGCGTGTTCCAGTTAATAGTGATGTTTGGTAACTTGTTCCATTTCCTAATTAGTTATGAGATCCGCTAAATCTGATGAACATCTCGTTTACACAGAAAGTAAGGATGGACGAAGGGTAATCTTAATACTTCGGTATGAAACCTGGCCACTGGCATCACATCTCCCCACCATGACCACATTAATGCAGCACCTATTACCACCACCACCCAGCCCTCACCAATGCCCACCTTCCAGCCTCCATTACCGTCATCTCCATACTACCCTCCTAAGCACCATCCTGCACTACAATAACCAGTCTACACTTGAATACCACCATCCTGCACCACACTAATATAGTTGCGGGGTGCCACATGGCGTGCCTTAGTAGCTGAGCAACGGGAGACAACAGTGTGAGCGGTATTTATAGCGGAGACATCCTAGGTGGTTGCGGGAACTTGGCTGAAGGGAGGTGTGAGTTGTATAAAGTGCTGCTGACTCTTGTCCCGTTATGGAACCACTTTACGTTATGTAACAAATCAAGTTACACAAATATTTAGGCTAAGAAGAATTATTCCGAAACGACCGTACAAGTATAACGATTTCCTTACTGCAGCTGAAATTTGAAACCTTTATTGTGAAACAGTAAGAATATTTTACTGTTAGTTTTTTTATCAATTAGTGTTTTTCTTTAATTCTAATTATTAGTACAAACTCATCAATACAAGTTGACAATTCTTAAAAAAATATATATGTAAATTTAATCTAATTGCTGCAAAATCAGAAGCACTTCCTTGATGTATATCTTAAGTGGAAAAACTAGTTCACGTGGGATGTTACATGTAATGAACTGTTGGTGACTTAACACTAAACTATATAAATTCTGATTCTTGCATGATGAATGAAGTAAATGTTGATAATATTCTTTTTTAGCTGAACGCCAGATGCACGTAAACGTTGATGAACGAGTGCTTAATCTTGGAAGACGAATGCTGTCATGAATAAGACCATACAGTATGTACGAGTTTTTATTTATTTGGCGACGTTAAAGTAATATAGCTACAGTATCCTACAATGACTTCCCGCAGGCTAGCATGACATCCCAACCTCAGCTGTCCAGCTAAAAAAATAATAAAATCCACACTCAACTTGTAGCAATTAAGTGTGACTGCGTAACTGACCTTGGATGTTGGTAGTGCCCTACATTTGACTTCCATTTTGTCATTAGTAGACATTATCGTGCTGTAATTGCCAGATACAGGAGGCATATTAAAACTAGGCAGTAATTAATAGGAATTAGGGGAAACGATGGTTGGAAGTATATTGTTAAAAATCATATGTTGTCCAGTCATAAAGTGACATGATTCTGTTCAATGTTTGAAAAGGGGTAAAGGAACACAAAAATAGGACACGCATCTAACCGCCGAACAGTTTACAGAGATTACAATAAGGGAGTAACTCGAAAGATTGTTATGTTACAGAGAATCGTTTCAAATTTCTGGGAAATGTTCTGTTTCATGTCGTGTGTAGATAAGATTATTCAGCTTATTTGTTAAAATTTAATTAAACTTCACCTGGACCTAATCTAACATATCCTAACCGAAACATTACATATTTGAAAGATTGGCTGTAGCGTATATACCGTCCTTATAACCTCGTTTTTTATGCAATTTATGGCGTATGATTATAACTATTAAAGTTATTTGTATCATTATTTATTGTTAAAGCTCTGCCCATAACCGGAAAGAACACCGCGGTACCCTTTGCTCAGTCTAGGCCAGTGCTTGCTGGAGACGATAAGAAAATAAGGAGTCTGCACTGGGCCGGTTGGCCTGTGCATGGCAGCTCCTGTCGTGAGTTCCTACCACTCTCTATCATCCAAGAATCTATCTAGCCTCCTTTTGAAACTTTCCAGAGTTCCAGCACTTACTACAAAGTTGCTAAGCTTGTTCCACTCTTCCACCACCCTACAGTATTTGTGAACCAGTTTCTTCCTATCTCCCTCTTAAACCTAAACTTATCCAACTTAAATCCGTTGCTCCGAGTCCTATCCTGCTCGGATATTATAAGAACTTTATCTATATCCCCTTTATTGATTCCTTTCACCCACTTAAATACTTCTATCATATCTCTCCGCACTCTTCGTCTTTCTAGGGAATGCAAGTTAAGTTTCTTTAACCTATCCTGATATGGAAGGTTTCTAAGTCCCGGAATCATTTTCGTCATTCTTCGATGGACAAATTCTCATAATTATAATAACACTAATGCAACCAATAATATCCACCTGAAGTAATATTTGATCCCTGATTCGATCGCGGGGTCGCAATGCCTACTGATGCTATAAAGTAACGTATTACTGTGCTTCAAAAACTAATATCTGTAAGCGTATAATTAGTACTTACATTAGACACCCTGTTGTCGACGTTGTGTATATTTGCCAGGGCACTGTAGTTTACTCGACAATAATAACAAACATCAGGTACTTTTAGATATTAACATTTCCATCTGCATATATTTATTTATTTTTAATTGCAATTGTCAACTGCATTAATTTGTAATTCAGTGTTGAAGTTTTAGACATTTTACGCGAATAAGTGTCTACAGTGTTTGTGTGACTGCAATAATCACACAACAAAATCAGACTTTCGATGATATGTAGATTAGGGTATAGGGTTGCCATACGTCCATATTTTCCCGGACATGTCCTCCATTTAGGTCTCGAAATCTTCGTCCGGAAGTAATTTTTAACATTCTTTAAAAGTCCGGAATTTCAGCTTCCATCATTTTCTCCACGGAAAAAAAAAACATGAAACTGTAATGACGAGAGAGAGAGAGAGGGGAGGTGGAAACCGTAGAGATCTCGTTCAGTTTTCGTCAGCTGATAAGTCACGTGTACGCCTGTACGGTGTTGTCAACTTAGCTGCTAGCAAATTTTGGGTAGCATGTAGTGCCATGTACTGCTTTTCCTTGTTCTTCAGCCACGCGCATTATTAAATTTGTTTTTGTATTTAGCGCTATTAGCCATAAATGAAATGTTGAAAGTATACCATATTTTTCTTATGGCTTTTTTACACTGTAGCCTTTGTTTTTCTTGTCCTGCATTTAAGGCATTTTAGCAATTTTCAACCATAATCTTGATGTGCATAGGCACATCAAGTCACACACACACAGTGGGGGAAGAAGACTGCAGCTAAGGGAATGAAGATATTCAGCCTTAAGCAAAGGTAATTTTTTTAGTATTTTTAAGATTTCTTTCCCATGAATGTTGTATATTAGCCTACATTAAAAACACAATGCAATACAGTACACCGATACTGGTATATATATATTATTAATGTTATGCAAATAGCAAAATTAATTGTCACGGCTGCTTCAAGGTTACATAGCGCCAAAGTGTGTGCCGGGGGGATGTCTTCTGGAGCGTCCTCTTTTTTGAATGTTCAGATATGGCATCCCTATTAGGGTATCATTCAATAAAAAAAATGCCAGGTGACAGCTTGAAACGGCTTTTTTTTTACGCACTTGCAAATCACTTATGGCATTCACCTGACAGGAAACTTGTTAGTCAGTGTACGGTATGGGATCAACTTTTATTGCAAAGGTGAGTGTGTCGGGAGGAGTTTGTAAATATTAAGGCAGGTGAGGTCCAACAGTCACTCTCTGGATAAAGTGTACAGATGAGTTGGTATATTGAACCTTCCAGTTCGTCACCCACAGCCCGAAATCCCCATCTTAGTTCTGTAAGCAGTGGCGTAGCTAGAGTGTGTGCCGCCCGGGGCGGCCCTTTCGTTTGCCCCCACAAAAAATACATATTGCACAGTGACTCACTCTTATATATATATATATATATATATATATATATATATATATATATATATATATATATATATATATATATATATTAAATAGTTTGTGTACCATTATAATATTACTGTACTTTCACATACTCAAATATAGTATGCTTTAAATACACACCAAACATACTTAAACTTTATAAGTAACAGTTAAACAAAAAGCAAAAACGACATATAGGATAGGGAAAAAAGTAAAAAAAAGTGTAAAAAATTAGGACCATCTTTATTTCTGAAATTAAAACTACAACTTTACTTTCACATACTCAAATATAGTATGCTTTAAATACACCCCAAACATACTTAAACTTTATAAGTAACAGTTAAACAAAAAGCAAAAACGACATATAGGATAGGGAAAAAAGTAAAAAAGTGTAAAAAATTAGGACCATCTTTATTTCTGAAATGAAAACTACAACTTTCTACAAAGTAACTTTTCTTGTTTTTTTGTTGGCAAATTCTTCAATGACATTGTCAAAAACTATTTCATCTGTCAATTGTCGCTCTATAGACAGTATGGCAAGATTTCTCAACCGCAAGGTGCTCATAGTAGATCTTAAGTAATTCTTGATCAGTTTTAGTTTCGAAAACTCCTCTCACAGGTAGCAACACTAACAGCAATTGTGAGGAAAATCCTCAGCATTATTACTATATTTGGAACCGAGTTCCCAAGGTTATACTTTTGAATAAACTGCAAAAGTTCAAGGGGGCCTTTTTTCCACGTCTGTATTCTGTCTTTAATAGTTATAGCAGCAACAGCAACAAAATGCTGAAGTCTTTTTCTCTCAACAGGTTATAGGTTGTATGTGTGGCGGGGGGGGGGCGCATAGCAAGGGTGTAGCTCATGACGTGGCCGTGATGATGTGGGTCAGGTGTTAGGTCAGACACGACAAGGATTAACTTGCCGCCGATACAAAGGGATGGATTAACGTCTCCAGTAGCTGCAGATATGGGTGATGAGCAGACCCAAAAGTGCCGCCCGGGCGGACCGCCCCCCCCCCCAGCTACGCTAGTGTCTGTAAGCACAATTACCCTCCAAGTCTTGCCACCGTGTTAGAACGTTGTCGTGTACCATACTTGAGGGAAACGTATGCTTGTAAACCTCAGTTGTTTTATGTTATCTCGATTAGATTAAAGGTTAATTATTTTTAAGTGCATGTTGTCTGAGCTCTGTTACGACGAGTATGTCTATTGTCTATCCAGTCCACGCTATGTAATGTTTGCAGTCTACGTTATATAATATTTTAGTCCACTTTATACTATGTTTATTCAGTCCATGTAAATGTTTGTTCATTCACGTTATGATTGTTCAGTTTACGTTATGTAAAGTTTGCTCAGTATATGACGAATAATCATGATTCAGCAGGTTATGCATTCTCGGTAACAGTTGAATTGAATTGAAACAGTTTATTTAGCCAGAAAAACACAGATACAGAGTGGATAATAATAACAATATTAACATGGCTGAGCCAGTTGAGAACCTGAGCTCTCTTTGAGGCACCTGATATATACTACAGTATTCATTTATCTCAAGGAAGTATTATGTAACATTTAGTATCATTGGAATAGTACAATAGCATGGTAGTAATAAGTGCATCTCATAGTGTTACCACGGTTATCACTTCAATATTTATTTATTTTATTGTTTATATTTTATTATTATTATTATTTTGTTTATTTATTTATACATACATACACACACACACACACACACACACACGTGTATATATATATATATATATATATATATATATATATATACTTATATACTTACTTCATTTTTAGTCCATATAACACGCGGACTTTGAACATATAATCAACGACCTCACCAGCCAGGAATCGAACCCTCGACCTACTGGGTGGGACTAGGGAACGCTACCGACCAACCCACAAGGACACTTGTGGTGGGTGGCGTTCCCTAGTCCCACCCAGTAGATCGAGGGTTGATATATATATATATATATATATATATATATATATATATATATATATATATATAAATAAATTAGAGTGGAATTTAAAAACATAAGTATAATGGGGGAGCAGTACAACCTGGGCTGTACAGTAATAAGGTTGAACAAGAGGACAGAGCTTTCAGGATTATGTCTAGCTATAACGAAATCGAACGCAGTTAAAATTATAACACAGAATTCAGTACTGACGATTTAGTATAATCAGATTACATTATGTTTTATGAACACAAACATCAAATTCAAACAGTAGTACAGTATTGTACTGTACAAGTACAGGGACAAATTACAGGTACTCCACAGAAAATTCAGAAATTATTAAATAAATGGCATTCGGGACGGGCGTTTATGATTCAATTACATAATACAATATTGTAAATATGAAAAACAGAGTAACTTATTTGTTAGCATCAAAATCCCGATATTACGTGTCTTTTTAATTTTTAATTATTAAGTATCATAGGTACAGTTGGCATCATAGTGAGAAAATTTGAGGCCAGTGGAGAGACATCTGGCATATCCTTCATGTAGTAGGTAGCATTTTTTTTTTTCATGAATGAATCATGGCGAATCAGGGTGAGCTACAGTAGCTCTATCAGCCAAAACTTCTCACACTTCTTGTGATGACAACTGTGCATAAGAATGGAAATATTAAAGATATAATGGTAAATTAAAGAAAAATCGGAATTCAGTATTTTTAAGTGAAATATGTCGCTGTATTCTTTGCTATTAATATACTCTAGAGATTTGGTCATTTCACCCAAATATAGATACCTTACACACTGGGCTAGTTCATTGTACTCAAAGTTAAGATATTTTATGGCTTGGGCCAATTCATTGTATACTCAAGAAGTTTAAGATAATGAGACATGCTTTCAATGCAGCTACCAAATAAGCTTGAATTTCAACAGTCACGACTATACACATGACATAAGCAGCAACTTCATTACACAAATACTGTATTAGAATTTTACTAAACACCTCATGTTAATTATGGAAAAAAGGTTATCTTCATTCTAGCCCAAGTTTTTAGTTCTCATGGAATAAAGATGAACATGTTTGTTGTAGGCATAACAGCCGGGAGCAGTGCCACCATGAGTGTCATCATCAGGCTGCAGAACCTCCCGTGGTCAGCCAATGCCCTTGACATTCGGGAGTTCTTCAAGGGCCTGTCCATCCCTGAGGGTGGTGTCCATATTGTCGGTGGAGAGCTGGGTGATGCTTTCATTGCGTTTAGGTAAGTGTTTTATTTTTGTTTGTTTTTTATCATGAGTGATGGGAAAAAAATATTGGCCCTCATTGATACTGTGATATGATCGAATTACAGCAGGATATGTGTGTGTTTGGATGTATGTTGGTCATTTTTTCTGGATTTGGAGTTATACTTTAAAATTTAGTCATTATAAAATAAAGATAACGTTCTCCCTTTGCCTCGCAATATTTGGTTTTAATTATTTTTTTTTACATGTACTGTACTTTATTTTTTAGAAAACTTTCCCAGAACAGTTCAGCTTTAATTCTCTTTGATTCTTCAACAGCACGGATGAGGATGCAAGGCTGGCCATGCAGAAAACAGGATCCAGCTTGAAGGGGATTCAGGTCACTTTACTATTGTCATCACGATCAGAGATGCAGAAAGTAATTGAAGCAGCCCGCCAGCAGGCAATGGCACTCCAGGGCTACATGGCCCCCACGGTGATTCCTACACAGCCCCAGCAGCCTCCTGTACCCCCAGTCCCTCAGTTACAGCAGCCCCCACCATCCACCATGCAACACCAGCAGCTTCCTCCACATGTACCATACCAAGCCCATCCACACGCTGTTGTTCTTGAAGCTCAGCAACAGATGCAGCCTCGTATGGTAGCACATATCAGCTCTCCACCAAACCAACCAAACATGCAACAGCCCCCATCTATACCGATGCCTCCTTCAGTACATCCCTCCCAAACACCTCACAGTTCAGGCCAAGCTGCATCTCATGGTCCTCCTAATTCTAGTTCTACTAATGATTTGCAGACTGTTACTCATTTAAGTTCTTCAACTAGTAACTCTGAAAAAAAGGAAGAAAAGAAGTCATCAGCAACCTCCACTTCCTCCTCATCAAAGAGAGATAACAAAGGACGTGACAGTAGGAGGCGTAGGTCTAAGACACGCAGCAGATCTCGCTCCAGGTCCCGTGATAGAGATCGTCGTCGACGTCACAGAACCAGATCAAGGTCTCGTAGTCGTGATCGCAGCAGTCGTAGTCGCAGGCGCACCAGGAGTCGGGAACGTGACCGTGGAAGGGATAGGAATCGTGACCGTGACCGTGACCGTGACCGGGATAAGGATCGTAGTAACCATGCTGGTCGTGAACGTAATGACCGTATCAGCCAAGAAAATAATGAAACGGTAACAGTTACCCTTGACCCTCCTGCTAAGGAGAGTGCCAGTGGTGCTGAAGGAATTCCAGGTCTTGGTGACATTCCAAGTGCCAGCATGAGGGGACCTCTACCAAGTCTTTCAGAGCCTATCAAAAACTCTCCAATTCAAACCCCATCACCTGGCCCAAATCAAGCATACAGCTCGGCACAGCCATATAATTCTGGGTCGTCATACCACACGGCACCACCATTCACATCTGGACCACCCTTAAATTTTGGAAACATGAGTGTCCCTCCTCCAGCTATACCTATGGTACGTACATTTAATGAGCCTATGGAAACAGAACCTGGAGATGATCATCCAATCATTTTGGAAGGACCTGGAGAATTTATGGACAATCAGATGTCTGGGAAACCCAACAACCAGAGGAATGAACATAGTGGTCAGGTCAGAGGTCCGGGCGATGGACCACAGAGGACTGAAAATAAAGGTCTGTTAGGTGATGGCCCTTCTGAAGCAGGATTTGGTAACTTTTTTGGTAGAGGAATGCCCATGAGAAACAATGAGGGCCTTGCATTTGGTCACCCAAGGAGTCGCCCACTTCTTAAAGAACCAGGTAGTAATGAATTTAATGATCAGTTTGATCCAAGACTCCGAAACGAGTCTTCCCAAATGGGTTGGGAATCAAAAGATGGGAAAGAACCAGTGAGCAGTAGCAAACAAAGAGAGTTCAAAGAAGACAGGGACCCCAGAGATAAAAGCTTCAGAAATGAAATAGACATGAGAGAGGGAAGGAGTAGCCGAGATGATCGACAGTCAAAAGATGGCAAAGACACCCATGAAGACAGAGATTCTCGTGATGACCCAGATCGATCTGGCTGGGAATCTCGAGGTAAACGAGATTCTCACAGTGAACGTGGAACTCGCTGGGAGGCTGCAGATCGTCGTGAGGATGGGGATGAATCTTCCAGTTGGAGTAGTCGCAGTAGAAGGGAAGGCTGGAAAGGCCGTGATGAAGGAAGCTGGAGTAGAAGCAGTGGAGATAAACGAGAAAGCTGGAGTGACAAAGATAGTTGGAAACATGATTCTCATAGCTGGGAAGAGGATTCATATTACCACAGGGATCAAGACAGGCATGGTGATGATCATGACAGGTATGGTGATGGGTACAGTTACAGAGGTTATCGAAGTAGAGGAGGACGTGGCATGGACAGAGGCCGTATCAGCCGAGGTGGACGTGGCTACAACCCTCGCTTTAGTGGATACCATGAAGGATACAAAGATGAAAACCACGAGGACGGCTATGGCTATCGTGGAGGATACAGGGGACGTGGGAGTTATCGTGGTAGAGGTGGTTCCTATAATTACAGAGAAGGCAGTTCAGAATGGGGAGAGGACAGTACATGCAGTGTAGAAATTCGTAATATACCTCCTGGCACATCTTATCGTGCTATAAGAGAACTTTTCCGTGGCATTTATGTTCCTAAGACCAGCATCAAGCTTCTAGCTGATGATCATGGAAATCGGATAGATATTGCACTCTTGCAGTTTTCCTCACCCCGGGATGCACACAAGGCAATCAGGTGCTCTGGTAATTACATATTTGATAATAAAGTTGAGGTAACTCTTATTAGTGAAGCCAAATATGAAGCTGCAGTGGATGTTAACAAAATGGGTATGATGAAGGGGTATCCTGGTAGTAGAGCTCCAGTCCTAGCTGAAGAAATTCCATGGCCAGATAGCACGTGTGTGTGTGTGTCAGGCCTCCCATTAGAATGTGCAGAACATGATGTTGCTCAGATGTTTAGTCAGTTTAAGATTCAAGATATTGTCTTGGAGAGAGAAAAGGGAACTCGACAGCCATCTGGGCGATGCTTTGTGCGGCTGAACTCCCCTGAAGAGGTGCATCAATCTTTGGTAAATCTCCTCAATGCTTCTATTGATGGTAACCCCCTTACTGTAGAAGTCTGTCCACCTGATGCTATCACACATGCTGCCAGGGATAGAGACTTGATGCAAAGCTCCCAACAGTCAGGGAAGTCCCAACAAAACCCAGCATCAACCCAGAAGGGTAATTCCACTCAACAGGAAAAAAAGACAGAAGAAAAGAAAAGTGAAAATCAAAATGGTGAAGAACCCCCAGCTAAGCACCTTCCAGTTGGTGCTGATTTACTTACTGACTCTGTAGTGATGAAAGGGGTACCAAAAGATGCAACAGAAGCAAATATTCGAGATTTCTTTAGTGATGAGGGGCTTGTGCCAGAACGTGTACACTTCTGTGATGCAAACTCTAAAGGGTTACATGAAGTATATATTATGTTTCCTTTGATTGAAGATGCTAGGCGTGCTGTTGGAAAAAGCCAACAGCAACTCTGTAAAGTTAAGGTCGAAATAGACATGGTAGCAAAACCTGTTGTCATGAGTGCTATGGGTCTTCCATTTGATCCTCTTGAACTTATAAGAAAAGGACAAAAAACTGGTACAACTGCAGTCCCTGGAAAATCGGAGAAGAATGCAGAACATGCAAGTGATGATAAGAAGCCTTCTACACAGACGAAAGCAACAAGTGCCTCAACATCAAAAGAAAAACAGGAACATGGTAACCAAAATCAAGCATCACAATCATCAGTTGACCAGCAACCTGGGGATCCAGGACAAGAACATTCTCATAACATAGAGCAGCAAAATTCAAATTCCTTCTCTAGTTCAGGAGTAACGGTTCAAGGTCTTTATAGAGGAGGTGGCATGGCTGGATATGTACCTGGTGGATCACGAGGATTCAGACCCAGAGGAGATATGCGAGGAATGAATAGGATGCCCGTTGGAATGTCAGGACCTCGGGGACCAAGTGATGGATCCTTTACGAGAATGCGGGGCTCTGTACCATTGTTGAGGGATCCTGTCGAGAAACCTGCTGGTGAAGAGACTATGGGCACTGCCATTCCACCAGAAAATTTTGGTAAACCGGGGTGTGTTGTTGCACTAGGCAATGTGCCATATCGTGCTACCACTGACGATATCCTTGAATTTTTCCACGAGTTCCCAGGATTACGTCCTGAGAATATTATCAGACGATACAATGAATTTAACCAGCCCACTGCTGATGCTCGTGTAGCGTTTCCCAGCGCACAGGAAGCACAACGAGCAGTACAGACTCTCAACAGAAAATTCATGACCCACAGACAAGTGTTCCTTTCCCTTGTGTCAGAATAAAACATACTGTTTTCATTTTGTAATAAAACATATTAAAACAAATATTGTATATTTCTGGGAATTTTATGTATTTTTCCAGTTATTTTCTATGCAGTTTTTTTTTCACAATTGGATTGCAATGCACTTCTCAGTACCTGTGGATTTTTTTGTAAACAGCTTAATTGTAGGATAAAGTAAGCTAACATTACAAAAATACATGTGTAAATATAAGTTTAAGGTCATCCTGTATTGTTCAGGAATTGTAACTTAGCGACATGGATAAAGTATTACAAAATTGTTTGTACATATTTGAAGTAAACTACTTTCTTAAAATATTCTGTTGTTTTATTTTTCTTCTTGTGAATGTATGTTCCTGTTCATGTAGAATGTGTTAACCCATCGTCAGAGATGTCAAAATTAAGCAGTGAGCGAAATGGAGCTCTTTTTAGACGTGTAAGTGAGTATCAAACATAACACAGGAGGTCGACACGACTGGATAATACTCAGAGCAAGACAGTTGATGGTAGGGATGTGAAAAGTGCAATAATTGTGAGACTAGTAAGGAATCAGAAGTGTTGTATCTTCATTGAATAAAATGAATGTTCAAATATCAATCATTTTTAGTTTCGCTCCTTAATACAACTATATTGATACTTAAAGTGATAACTAACTCCAGAAATTTTGCTCAATAATAAAAAATAGAGCTTGGCAATGCAATGTTACATACAGTAATGTTTTATGTGTTTGCTGTTATTATGCACCACTGGTGGTAGTAGTGCACTAGATGAAAACAAACTGCAAAACGAAACACTGTGAATCATTTTAATATCTATCGGTAATAGAAATATGCTTCAAAATACAGATTATCAATCAAAATCTGAAATGTTTTAAGATCTTCAAAATGCTAGACTAACATGTAGGCATGCGATTACAAAATATTACAGTACTGTACAGTACATCTATGCTGTCTCTTAATACTGTATATGTAACCAAACCAGGTTAGTTGGAAAAAACAACTTACGATCTTAAAGGAATTGGCGAGGTATAACGGAAAAGTGCGTATTAATTGTATTTTGTGGTTTTGTTTTGTGATATTGCCCACAGTATAAAATCTTTCCCAATTCCACTAATGTTGTGTAGTGTAGTGGAATTCCTCCCTACAAACGCTGTTTGTCGCTGCCTAGCCGACCCCACCAATTCCCCAGTGTATGCCTCGTGGTCTAGGTCAACCAGCGCCGCCATACATCACGGAGCGGGGGTCAACTACTAAGCCACGCCTACCCCCGCTATTTAAGACCTGACCTCGTGGTGATCTCTCTCTTACTACCTACAGCCGCAGCCAGCAACACCTCCTCCTCCGCTGCTGCCTGGCGGCCCTCGCTCCTCCTCCGCCTGCCTGGCGGTCCTCGCTCCCGCCGGCGAGCATGGCGACCCACAAGCTGTCCTCCTCAGAGCGTCCTCACCAACCAGCTCTCTCTACATCACGCTTGTAACCATGCTGCCTTCCCAGCACCAAGCTGCATTGTACATCCAATACAACATGTATATAGAGAGCACATTGTGAGTTTCCTTTCTCCATTCCATCCTGAGTGTGAACCAAATATCTCATACCCCACAAATGGTGACTCCCGGAGATTCGCACTCACACAGGATGGAGGAGAAACTGATCACGCTCCCAGTCCTCAAGCAACATGGAAGACGCGCCTGCTGGGGTGTGTGGGCCTGGGTCAGGAGCAGGGGCTGCGTCAGCAGAAGCGGATGAGGGCTCGTGACAGCAGCTGGGTCCACGACAGCAGCAGGGTGCAGGACATTAGCAGGGAGTACCTGAGGGAGAAAAGAGGGGTGTGTGGGTCCGCACTTAGGAACAGAGGCCGCGTCAGGGGCGGCAGGGGTTACTGCTGGGCCGGGGTCGGCGTCTGAGGCAGGACGGGTAGCTGGGGTCGGAAGAGGAGCTGGTGTCTGCTTAGAGTAGCAGAGCTGCTCTAGGGTGTCTAACCTGCGGTGTAGAAACAGTAGTTGTAGAGTCGATGAGAGCTGCCTCTGTGTGGATAAGCCAGTCTTCCATGTTGCTTGAAGACTGGGAGCTTGATCAGTTTCTCCTCCATCCTGTGTGAGTGCGAATCTCCGGGAGTCACCATTTGTGGGGTATGAGATTGTTTGGTAGGGTGTGTCAATTTAGGGGGTGAACTGGCTAAATTGAAAATCGAGTAATTTGGTAGCAATTTATTGTAGTCTTTAAGCATGCAAAACAATATTCTGGCATAAATTTTTTTTTATAATAAGTCCTACCTACATCAAATGGATTTTTAAATGTACATATTTGTGAATTTATAACATAACCAGCGTTTGCACACATGTTACTGTTTCAAGTTTCAAATTATTATATTTTATTATCCGTAGTCTATTTGAAAGTAACCAATGCCTTCATACTCTCTTTGCTTTGGTTTCTTGTCATCAGTAGTCTGCTTGCTATTTGTGCTTTGATGTAACCTTCTCGCCTCTCGTGGCTGTAAACATGGCCCGCTGCTTCTGTGACCATTTTCACACATCTCTCCACACTTTGAGTGTGGGAAGGCCACTTCGGCACCTGCATTGGAGTCTCTTTAAGGTTTCTCAATTCTTGGCTAGTTAGACTTGTTGTCAATGGTGGCTCTAAGACTTCCAAACTCAAGTCAACCAATTCTGACAATTTGGTGGCATTGACATTTATTGGGGGAACTTTTCTTGAATGAAACGAACAGTCTCCCAACTGGTCGTCATCTATTAGCGTTCCTCTAATCTTTAGAATGACTTCTACAGCCTCGGTTCGGAGATTGGTACATTGACTGCAAAGCATTGCTTGCAAAACTGCTTCTGATCGAGCATACCAAGCGGACCTTCTTGCCACAGGTAACACGATGTCCCTCACTACCTTCCTCTGTGTTCTTACTAGCTGCAATTGAAACAAAAGGTGATTGGGCCCATCCACCCACATAGGATTAAGTTTCACACTAAACCACTGGGGAAGATAAACTCCAATAATAAATTCAACAATTAACCTCAAATTCTTCAGCACTTTGCCCTTCAATTCGTGTTTGGAAATCCAAATCCTGCAGAAACGAAGAGCTGTAGTTAACCAACGGCTGTGACTGACAGGTCCAATCTCCAAGAGAGCCAATGACTGAGGCACTTCTCCTGATCTTATTGCTTGGGCAATACGATAAGCATAGGATTGATCTGTGCTGAGATCTTTGATGACTCCTTCAGACAACGCCGGAAGGGGAGGGCCAACTTCGACCTTTGGAAAGGTTGTATTTATTTCTAGTTGTGTTGCTTCATCCAGCATGATGCCAAGGGGACCTGACCACTTGTTGTTGCTCTTTGTAGGACCATCAAGTTCCTGGATGAGATGACGAAGAGGTAGCTCGCCTGTATGTAAATCACATACAATCCAAACAAGTCTTCTTCCTAGTTTTTTCTCTAAATGCGTCATTACACCCCCCTGCCATCCGGTGTTCACTGCAGTTGAATCTCCACCAACAGCCTGCAGTGAACTGCCAAGTCCTCTCTCCTGAACCCAACATAAAATATGATCAGCAATGACCTCTGCATGTTTCTTCCCTTCTACTTCAGTTTCGGGAGCAAAGTGAAACAAAAACCGACCACCAGGCTCAGAACAGACAGAGTAGTGTTCTTCTTTGATGAGACCTGGAAACTTTCTGTTCACTCCCTCTACTTCTAGCAAAACTTTTGTGTCATCTATTCTTCCATCAAACAAAAGACAGGAGAGCCCTCCCTCGCTTAAATCTTTTTCATGCTGATCAGATATTTCCTTCATTATTTTTTCTTGTGCTCTTCTAATTTTATTATGATCTATCACCAAAGATACATCCTCTCGGCTGATGAGGCCTGCATCTATCCAAGCGGCAGTTGCAATTTCTGCAGCCTCACGAAGTCCAGCATGGTGGCGAATACTAGCTAAAGCAATGTTTGAAATATTTCTTGTGTTGTATTTCATTTTCTTTGGTAAAGGTTCAGATGGCTCTTTGGAACTATCATCTGATGTTGCTTCCTGTTCATCAGAAGAACTATCAAAGAAGTGATAAACATCTTGACACAGCTCTTCCTCTCTTTGGATGGCTTCTTCACTCTTCATTTTCTTCTTTTGTTCCCTCTCTCGGATTTGTTCTCTCTTCTTGGCATTAGCAATCTGCTTCTTTGTTTCTGAATAATCTATTGAACCCATTTGCATACTTCCTTGGCCTTCTGCCTTTGTCCTCTGTGCCTTTATAAATTCAAGCTCTAAAACAGGGATCTTCTTTTCACGAGGACAACCACAATCAATGTGGGAATTATTTTCTCTCTTACCTGAGTGAGAACAGTTGGATTCAGAACATAATTGTATGGAGCACTTGCAGGTCAAAATGTCAAACAGAGTATCAAGTGTGTGCAGAAATTCATTTTTCCTGGCCAAGTTTCCTTTACCAAGTGATGTTTCAACTGCTTTGTGCCATAATTTCGTTAGTTTTAGCTCAATAGTTCGACACTGATTAATCACAGGTGGTTTGAATAGTGCATTAGCTTTTGTCCATTGATGCAGAAGAGGGACTATCATGTCATTTATGAGTTCTTTATCTGTATAGTTCCTTCTGTCCTTTGCATTTTTTTCTCGAAGGAGTAACCCTAATCTTAGCATGTCTCTCACTGTTGGAAGTTCTGATACAGGAAGCTCCTTCCCTTTACCAACTAGCAGGCTCAAGTGGGTTGACAACTGACTTCTTGTCTTCAATTTTGACATCTTCACACTATCTGACAAATAGAAAAATATTTCAATGTTTCATAATTCAATTGTTGTTTCAAAAAATATCAATTTGTTTATCAAAAATGCTGTAACAGAAATAACATAATAATTTCTTAGAACATAATGTTTTATACAATGATATAAGTAACTGCGACAATCAATATGCCCTACTTACAATAATTAAAATGTAGAATTCGTCTGGTAGAGTAGGTGCAAGTGCAATGAGAGCAAACCACCGTCTATGATATCTAGAAGGAGAGTGAGCCGGGCGCCTTATCCTCACGCTTGGTACAAGTCAAAACAAGAATTAAACTGTCCCACACGGAGAGCCTGTTCATGTTCTGACATGCATATTGTACACAAGCTATAGAACCATAAAATACTCCATAATCCATATGCTTACATGAGATTAGTTAATATCAAGTGAATAATTCTAATCAAGTCTCATTAATTTGTTGAAATACTGATATTTGAAACTTTAAGGTATAATTGATGTAGGTGAGGGTTATTTCAATTCATTTTTGTTTGCTAATCTCAAGTTTAGACATAAAGAGGCACAATATTTTGACTACCAAATTTGATTTTTAACATGTTGACAAAATTGACACACCCTAACATAACAGTAGTGAGATCTATATCTACATCACTACAAATAACACCACCCATCACCACTATACTTAACACTATCCATCATCACTACATATAACGATATCCATCAACACTACATAATTATAACACCTTCCATCATCACTACAGATAAGAACATCTATCATCACTATACTTAACACCATTCATCATCACTATACTTAACACCATCCATCATCACTATACATAACACCATCCATCATCACTACATATAAAATCGTCCATCATCACTACATATAACACCATCCATCATCCCTACAGATCGGTAAAGTAGTTTCCGAGATTCTCGTGCGGACACACACACACACACAGACATACTTCTTTGTTTTATATACTATATAGATTAATTCTCCTCCACACCTTTCCATTTTATACCTTTTTTATTCTTCTATGTTATCTTACCCTTATTCTATGTTATTTCCTCATCCTCATCATCCTCTTCATAATCATTTCTCTCTATCCTTTCATTATTTGTATCCAATCCTTCTTCTTCAAATTCACAATCCATTCCTACACCCGTTTCGTTTTTCCATAGGTCAGCAGTTTCCCTTTTAAACCCTTTATAAAAACAATCATTATTTTCCTCTTTGTATTCTCTAAGAATTTTACCTATAGTTACAGCATACTTCTTACTTATAGCGCTCCTGATGTCTTTAGATTTTTTAAAGTATTTGTCTTATTTGCTGTGGTACTGAAGAAATATTATCCATAGACACATCTGAATAATATACACTATTTAAATAGGACAAATATAATATTAAATTGCACTCATGAACTCCAATACAATTTAAACCAGTGGTTGTTAACCTTTTTTGAGTCACGGACCCCTTTGAGAATCTGGTGAAAGCTATGGACCCCCTCCCTAGAAAAATTAACATAAGCACATAAACACAACTTTGCATGCAATGAATATACTTTATTTTATTGAAAATTCAATGCCTCATACAGTGTATGACATACACAAAGTGTGAATAAAGTAAACAATCTTAACAAAGAATTATGTTTCACACTTTTTTATGCAAAAATTAATGGCCACTCCATACAAAAATGAAATACAATCATTTTGTGCAAATAAACAAAACAAAACTTTAATTCTGCTCAAAAGTTCATTTCAATGTGAAGGTTGTTGTTTTTTGGATTGAAGATAAATGTTAAATTTTATTTGACCTTCACAGACCCCCTGAAGCCCATCCATGGACCACTTGGGGGTCCATGGACCTCAGGTTAAGAACCCATGATTTAAACTAAATGAAATTAATGCTTTCACAGGACAATTATTTTGTCTTTGAGTATTTACAAATGTTTCTGATTCGAAATTTACCAAATATATGGATTTTCCATTGGGTTTGACTACTATACCGCTCAGTGGAGTATTATAGATAATTTTCAATTCCATTTACACATCGATATTACTTTTAGTGGTGGTGGTGGTGGTGGTTTTCATAAAAGTAAAATAGTGTACAGTACTCCCAAATTAATGCGACTCACTAGACATTCGTCTTTATATTGTGGGTCTCTGTTAGAGAGGATATCCTTACATGGGAGAGGATATTTCTTTTTTCTATGGGGGTCTACGTACATCAAAACGCTCCACTTGGTGGGCTATATTAAATTTTCAACGTGGAAGTCGTTTAATTCTGTAATTAACTTTATCTGTCTCATTTTATGTATGTCATCATCGAATTCTATAATAGAAACTTTATTAACTACTTCTTGATAATTCCCACCTCCCGAAAAAAGACGACACTTTACTTCCAATAGATGAATGTCTAATTCTCTAAGAGAACTATCCACAATAATATATATTTTCATCTTGTTTACAGATCACATTTGTGGAATCCTAAGTTTCAAAGAGGGTTCAAAATTATTTGGTTCACTATGAATTATCCTATTAGTGAATTGAGATAATATAGTGTCCATATATACATTATTTTTCAACTGGTTTTCTCGAGCTGTCACCATAGAATTTAGGTGTTGGGCTTCGACGGGTAAAACACTATACGAATTATTGTCGGAGGTAACGTCTGCCAGGACGGCCTCTATCATGCTCATTACTTCTCGTTTATTATTTAATTCCACTGTACTAAAATAAATTGAGGGACTCGGAATCACTTCAACATTGTCATAATATACCGATGTATTTCTTGTTTGAGATGATGTAAGGTTGATGGTGGCTGCTGTCGATGATGACGAATGCGATGATCGTGGTGACGGTGGGCGGTATAAAAGTTGTTGGGAAAAGAATTGTTGTTGTCTTTTAGTAACTGGAATTAGCGAAGAGTTATGCAAAAAACATTTATGTTTGTGTTTCACCGGTTGTTGATATTGATGAGGATAATGAGCCTCTATTTCACCGACCGAGTTACTAACTGATTGTTCGGTTATTTGTTTAGTCTTAGTTTGTCTGTTCAACATAATGATACCGTAATCTGTATATATTCTTGTTGAAAAACGCAACCGGAATATAATAATTAAGATACCTTACCAATGTATTTATAGTAAAACAAAACAATATAAAAAACTCTCAAAAAATCATTAACCTTGCACCCTGGGAAAAAAAATATATAAGATAACAAAAACACTACCTATATTTTATTGTTTACACTGTATAGTTTTTTATTCAAGTGCCTATGGGGAGTGTTGAAAATCCTAGGCTACTTTCTCAAACGGAAGAAAAACAAGAGCTCCACAGAAAACGCAAAATTTTTTTAACAATTGGTGTTTTAATGCGGAGGCTATACTGGATGTGTTGTAGGTCCATCCGGTCGCCAAGCTAGTACGAATCATCGTTGGGCAATATGCGTTCACTGAGTCCCACGTCAATGAGGTGACAGGTGTAAGGTGAAGTGGAGGTGTCGATGATGACGTTGCCTTCGTGGAGGTCCATGTGGGCGTAACCAGCAGCGTGAAACTCAGCGAGGGCAACGCGGGTTGCGTCGCAGGCCTTCTGGCCATGGTGGACGTCAAACTTAAAACTCGTTAGAATCGAATCTAAGAGCACGCCCCGGCAGTACTGCATGACGATGGCGTTGGGCTCGGTTGTGACGCCGTACAAGAGAGGCGCGCCCCCAGCCCCGGCCAGCTCGTGTAGGACGCGGGCCTCCTTGGTGTTGGCCTCGCCGGAATGGAGGATCTTCACTACCACCTCCGTCACGTCCCCATTGCCTAGGGTGAGCTGACCATAGTGGCTCACCCCGAACGAACCGGCGCCAACATTTCGTACAAGACGAAGGCTGTCCCAGGTGAGCTGAGGTAGATCAGTTCCTCCACTGGTGGAGGTGGTGGAGCTGGAGGAGTTGTGGCAAATATTATTGAGTTGAACAAGAGAAGTCATCTTGGTCCTGTGATGGTTTTTGTCCTTCTCGAACAATTATTTATATGATTTCAAATCGAATCTTAAGGTAAACTCTGAATTTGAGGAGTAAGATACATAATGAGGTTGGAATATTGAACATAACATGGTGTTCACTCAGGATGGAATGGAGAAAGGAAACTCTCAATGTGCTCTCTGTATACATGTTGTATTGGATGTATAATGCAGCTTGGTGCTGGGAAGGCAGCATGGTTACAAGCGTGATGTAGAGAGAGCTGGTTGGTGAGGATGCTCACAGGATGACAGCTTGTGGGTCGCCATGCTCGCCAGCGGGAGAGAAGACCGCCAGGCAGGCGGAGGAGCGAGGGAAGGCCGCCAGGCAGCGGCGGAGGAGGAGGTGTTGCTGGCTGGGCAGCGACAAACAGCGTTTGTAGGAGAGAATTCCACTACAACCCCACAGTAGTTAAGATCAGGTGGTGTGTGGGCCCCACGTAACCTTCCTTGACAAGCTATATTCGTAACTGTTAGACGAAAATTTCATGTCGACAGTTATCTTGCATTACGAAACAATATAACGCCTTTGCAGCATCCTTTTCTGATAATAAAACATTGTAATAAATTTATAACATCCATATCTGATAAATCATTCGGCTGCTATTGGACTATCGCGGTGTGAATGTTGCAGAAGGTAGTAGGTGGGGGGGCCTGTGTTTGTGATGACTCGGGTGTGATTTATAATATTACAAGGACAACGTGGTATTTCCGGCGTGCAGGAGAGAAATTCTGGGTCTAGATTCTTAGTAGTTCGTACAATGAATATTCCTCGTAACTGTGGAAGCAAGAGTGGACCTCACTGGTTAATTTAAGATATTTCACAAAAATAGCATATAAAGCTAACATCAAAATTACAGACATTGTACATTAACTGGAAACATAAGTCACTTTGCATCGTCAGTATGAGGACAAAATTAATGTAGAGAATCTTTCCAAATGTAATCTTAGTGCAATTTTTATATCATTTTCTAGACTGTTAAGTACAGCATATAAAATTCTTGAGCTTTCAGTAATGAGGAATATTCATCGTACAAACATTTGCAAATCTTCACCGCAGCTGGGCTCAGTGCCCGAAAAAATACGCATTTTCCTGAATACTGTACTGTGCATAGAGCTCATGTATAATAAACTACTTTGAGTGAAAATTATTAATTATTTTGTTATGGGAACACCCTCTTTCCGATAAAGTATTAAATTACGGAAATACGTAATTAGAATTTTGTTTGACAATTGCACCATAACCATAACAATTAATGCGATAACTCTTCGCAAACAATACGGAGAGCAAGGCTGGTAGTACGGTACGGTACGGAATATTTTTCCGTACTCCGCACCTGGCTAAAATACCGTACCGTAATTTCGTACCGTACCCCAAATTATTTTTCCGTACCGTACAGTACGGAAAAATACCGTACCGTAATTCCGTACTTATATCGTACCATCAGCAAAATATACTTATATCAAAATAATTCTCTATTTGTGAACAATTTATTAGAGTACATGTGTGGATTTGAAAAGGAACATATACGAAGTGACTATAGATGTAAATGTGCCCACATAATATTGTTGCCTTATTACGGAATTGTATTTCTTAGTCTACCTAATTTACAATGAAGCAAAAATATGTGTCATCTTATCAATAATGTGCAATATTAGATAAAGTGCCCCTGCCTGCCTCGGATGACTGCTCCCGACGGCGACAACGACAATGGAAGGAGTGACTGTGGAGAGTTGGAGACACAGACACTACTCTCAACTCTCAAGTTATACATGAATAGTTCGCGTGACGCAACGTGATCAGTACTGACAGTACCAGACCACCAGCTGGCGGACGGTACTGATCACCTAAGTGCACTCACTGAAGCCACCAACGCATTAACCCTTTGAAGATCAATGACACATTTCTTTTCTCTTTTCTGACTATTATTAGATGATTTTATTCAATTTAGGAAGGGTATATGAAAGACAATAGACAGATGGCTAATTCAGCTAGTCTATACTGTTTATTCCCATAAATCCTTCCTAAGCTGCATAAAAGTGTCTAATGATAGCCAGAATAAACTGTCAAAATGCGTCACAATCCTCAAGGGGTTAATAATTGCTTGATCATGTTTTTAAGCCTGGGGTACGGTACGGTACGGTACGGAATTTTGCTCATTTTTTCGTACCTAAATCGTACCGTACCGTACTTCAAGGAAAATATCGTACCGTAATTCCGTACCGTACATTCTGACTAAATATCAACCGTACCGTACCGTAATACCAGCCTTGACGGAGAGACGCACTTGCAGAATTGATCCAGATTAAATAATTATTTATTCCCTTTAAAACACGAAATGCCACACATCTTGTCTGCGTACACATTTACCAGATATTTGAAGACTTTAGGAGAGATACGCATGATATAACTTAAAATCATGATTCACTGCCAAGCATGACGTGTAAGTGTACAGTATTAAATATATAATACATTATAAAATAGAATGTCAAATAGGAAGTAATATATTAGTTACCTCATTCTTTTCGTTTTCTATAATCGTAATGTGTAACCCGTATGATATTTGTTTGTTAGAATAACTCTCGTCTTCTCAATTGCATTAATTCTCGGCTTATAATCTATATTCTATTGATGTTCTAAACGTTTATAAGTTTTATTCCCTATTAAATTCAGCCTCCGAGCTTGTATATCCTATTCTATTCATTCAGTTACTATTCCTTAATTTGTTCATTATCACGGACCCTATTCCCCAAGGATAAAATACGAGTATTAACACTAGTAAGGATAGTTTACCAAGCATTTGTTTTACTCACCATGCACAGCTCGGTGACGTCACTGTTGTAAACATGCGTGATCTGGTGACCTAGGTGTGTGCCCGCGTGTTTCAACATTTATGGTTATTTGCGCAAAATACGGATGCACCAGCAATGCTCAAATGGCAATCAAAGAGTACATCAAGTATTACAGATTTCCTAAAGATAATATAACTTTTGATAAATAGTTTTAATGCCTGCAAGTGCTCTGATAAAATAAACTCCAAATTTGCCCATGTGTGTTCTCCATTTCAAAGAAAGGGATTATAGATTTGAGTACTGTTACAGAGTAAAGAAGTGCAGTTAAAAGCGTCACCAAGAAAAAGTAGACAACTGTATCCATAGGCTGTACCAATCCTAAAACTTTCAACGGCAAAATCAGATGCAGGTGTGTATTGTATTATCAATGTTCAAGCATTCTATTCCTTGCTATATAAAATCAGGAAATATGAT